AAGGGTGGAAGATGGCCACTACCTGGGTCCCCATACCCTTGGGTAGGAAGCATTCTGGAGGGTAGATTTTGTCTAGTTAAGCCCACTAGCATTTTTGGATCACTGACTAATGTTGCGCTTGAGCATTCTGGGCATCTCCCCACTGCCCCAGTCCTACCAGTCCATCTCTGCTAAGCACTCACAATCAACTGGGGGAAGCAGAGTAATGAGGACGTATTTAAGAAACTTCAAATGCTCAGTAATACTAAGGCCATAAATGATAGAATCCCAGAGTATCTCCCTACTGAGCACAAGTGCACGTGTCCTGTCTTTCACACTGCTAACCTCCTGTGCTCTTCAAGATGCCTTCCTGAGCTCATGCGGTTTACCTTTAATGCTTATTTCTGGCCAAGTTGGTTTGAATCCTAGTAACCCTTAAAGCTCTCACAATGTAATTAGAGAAACCCAAGCTGGATCAAACTATTTCTAAAGAAGTCATCTGTTAGAAAGATGCATGCCAGGAGGTAATTTGCTCTTTTGTTAGATTTATTCTAAATTACCTTTATGCAGATGTTGGCTTGGGGATGCACCTGTGGATCTGTTGGTGACTCACATCCAACTCAAGTGGGTGTATCCACTGGCAGGTCCTGCCACCGTCCCCAGCATGCCCAGCCCCTGCCCCAGCGTGGGCTCCATCCCTGCCTGCACTTCCCCTGCAGGGTCAGGCCCCGCTTCCCGTGCCCTCGTGGCACAGCCCAGTCCAACTCACCCCACTGCATCCCTGCTGTACTCCCTGCCCACCCTGCTCCATCCCGTCCCACCACCCTGACCAACTCACTGCATCCCTGCTCCCGACCCCCTGTCCCCTGGCTTGATCCCATCTCACAGCACTGCCCTTTCCACTCAATCATAACCCACAGCCCTGCTCATCCCGCTCCTGACCAGCTCCTTTGGGCTACATCCCACTCAACCCTGGTTTGATCCCGGATCCATCCTGCTCCATCTTGATCCCAACCTGGCTCCATCCCGCTCTGACCCCGGCTCCATCCCCATTCAATTCTGGCTCGATCCCGCTCATATCTGGTTTGATCCTGGCTTTGAAGGTTCCTGCCAAGAAACACCAAGTGCTGGAACTCACCCGCGTCTGGCCCGGGAGCAGAGTCAGGCCCCACAGCTCTGCTCCTGCCAGCGCTGCCGAGCCCTGCACTCACTCGATGGTGCCATCGGAGCGCCCCACACAGCGCAGCACGGGCTGGGCCGTTGCTCTGGCTCCGGCAGAGGCACAACTGCCTCGGGAAGCTGCCAGCGAGCAACGAGAGCTGAGAAGCGGCTGCAGAAGGGCTCTGCTGTGGGGCTGAAAGCCAAGGGCGGAGCTGGGGAAAGGAGAGACTGCAGAGCCTCAGCCCTTGGGCTCCCTTCAGAGGAGGTGGCAGTGCTGCCCTCGATCGTGGCTGTTCTTCAGGCCTGACCTGCCCTCAGCGGTCTCCAGGGGCCTCTGAAAAGTCCAGCAGCAAAGACAGGATGTTCTGCACAAATGTCTGCCCCTGATCCTGGGCCTGACTCGGTGCTGAGAGCTCTTCTGCAGACAAAAGGGGATCGTATTTTACTGTCATACAGTCACAGCCTGGTTTGGGGTGGAAGGGACTTTAAAGCACACCCAGTCCCAAACCTTGGGTGCCCAGTGGCTATGGGCACAATGCTGCTGCCATCACAAAGCCGTGGCAGTCGCTGTAGAGATGCCCATTGTGACAGGGCCCCCATGGTGAGCTTGGGCTCTTTAAGGAGCGAGAGCCCTGCAGTAACCAGTGCAGAGGAGAGCCCTCCCCTCCCTCGGGAGGCTGCATCTTCCCTGGCTGCCCTGTGCATCCAGGTCTGTGTTCTTTGACTTTGCAATCCTGTTTTAGTGTTGGCCTCAAAAACATTGTGGGTGCATGCTGTGAATGGAGGAGAAGCTGTCAGGAGATGTGCTGGTGCCATCCCAGCTGTAGGAGCAGGGGATGGGTGAGGAGGATGCCCTGGGTTTGTTCATGTGCTTGGAGCTCAGCTCTGCCTGCAGAGGTTCTGGGAGCAAAGCAGGAGCCTTCTGTATGCAGGAGCTGCTGGTGTCAGAAGTGCTGAGAAAGTGGCAGGGCAGGAGAACTTCTACCTCCAAGTCAGAGCCTGGGGGAGTGCAAGGGTCACTCCAGCTTCCAGGACACCCCCTTAGTTTCATCCCACCCCTGGTCAGAGGGATGAGCTCATCGTCAGCATCTTCACAGGTAAGATTTAGGGAGAACTCCCCAGCTGCAGCCCAAAACCTGGCAGGTTCCCACCATATCTCCATTTTCTGCCTCCCCAGTGATCTGTGGAGTGGTCTCTGGTGGCTGTAGCCCCTGTTTGCGGGCTCCATTGGTCCCCCAAATTACTCGGCCCCCTGCAGAGCTTGGGCACATTCCCATGAACCTCCAAATCTCCCCAAACCTCCACTTCCCTTCTGAACCCCAAATCCCCCCCATTTACTGCCAGGGGCCAACAGGGGCACCGAAGAGTCAGGGTACACTGGGACAAATTCACCCCTAGTTTTGGGACATTGGGTGTTCCCCAAATCCCTGTACCACCCCGGGGAGCTTTGGGGATCTCTCCCAATGCCCAAATCCCCTCTGAGCCGACAAATTCTTCCCCTTAACACATCTCCACCCTGAGGGAACATTTCTCACCCAAGAGCTACTAGGGGTGCCCTGTTAGCCAGGTACCCCCTGTTTTTGGCACATGGATGCTCCCCCAATATAATGTGCCTCCTACAGCGAGTTTTGGGGAACTCCCCCTCCCCAACTTCCCAATGTTCCTTGAACCCCCAAATCCCTCCAACCCCCCAAATTCCTCCCATACTGAGTTCCCTTCCAGCCCCAGGGCTTCAATCCCAGAATAAGATGCCTGTACTAACGAGGCTGAATCCCTTCCTTCAGCAGGGGTAAAGGAGATCCCTGCCTGGCCTGGCCTGGCTCTCCTGTCTGATGACAATGGGGCTCCCTAAAGCATCCAATGAGATTCGGCTGCCCTGGGATTGCTGGACACCGCATTTTCGGGAGATGGCAAGTTCCCCAAAAAACTGAGCCACCGTGAGGTGTTTTAGAGATCAGCTGAATCACACCAAATCCTCCCAGGATCACCCAAAATCCCCCAAACCCAAAGACCGCTGCTCCAAAGCTGCCCCAGCTCAGCACAGTGGCACAGACCTGCTAAAAAAGGGGTGTCCTGAAAAGTGGGATCCCCCCAGCACCCTCCCTGGGGGTCCCCCAAGATGCTCTGGGACTCTGAATCCACTGGGGGGACCCCAACATTGCTTTGGGTTCAGTAGTGAATTCAGGGGGCCCAGAGCGGTGAATCCCCCAAAAGGGGCACCCTGATAAAGGGGCACCCCAAAACCACACTGCCCCCCCAAAAGGGTCATGGAAGCACTCAAAGCAGTTGTGGTATCCCCTAAAATCCTGGGGTATCCCAAATGTCCTTGAAGCACAAGAGCAGGCAGGACACCCAAAAGGGGGGCCCGGGGCAGCCCAAACGTGACCCGCACCCTCCCATCACCCCAGACCCTCTGAAATGAATCCAGGGACCCAAAATCCTGGAGAGGCCCCAACAAACACCCCCATCCCAAATGGGGATGCCAAAAAAAAGCTGTCCCCACCCCAAGGACTCCAGCCCCAAAATGCTCCTTGTTGCCTCCGAACTAGACCCCATGAGGATTTCCAACCCCACCCCGGTTACAGGGAGCATTGATCTGCTTTAGGGTAGGAAGCTCTGCAGAGGGATCTGGACAGGCTGGATCTACGGGCTGTGACCAATGGGATGAGGTTCAAGAAGGGAAAGTGCCAGGTCCTGCACTTGGGCCACAACCCCCTGCAACGCTCCAGGCTTGGGGAAGAGAGGCTGGAAACTGCTCATGGGAAAGGAGCTGGGGGTGCTGATTGGTGGAGCTGAACATGAGCAGCTTGTGCCCAGGCAGCCAGGAAGCTCCCAGCATCTTGGCCTGGATCAGCACCAGTGCGGCAGCAGGGCCGGGGCAGTGGTTGTGCCCCTGCACTGAGCACTGGTGATGTCTCACCTTGAATCCTGTGTTCAGAGGCCCTCACTACAACAGAGACTTTGAGGTGCTAGGTCGAGGTTAGAGAAGGGCAACAGAGCTGGTGCAGGGCCTGGAGCACAAGTGTGATGGGGAACAGCTGAGGGACCTGGGGGATTCAGTCTGGAGAAGAGAAGGCTCAGGGGGGACCTGATCGCTCCCTATAACTGCCTGACAGCAGGCTGGACCCAGGAGGGGACTGGTCTCTACTTCCAGGTAGCAAGGGATGGAACAAGAGGAAATGGCCTCAAGCTGCACCAGGGCAGGTTCAAATGGAGCTGAGGAACAATTCCTTCCCCAGAGGGTGCTCAGGCATTGGAACAGGCTGCCCAGGGCAGGGCGGTAGTCACTGTCCCTGCAAGTGTTCACATACCATGTAGACGAGGGCCTCAGTGCCACGGGTTAGTGGTGGCCTCGGCAGTGCTGGGGTAAGGGTTGGACTGGATGAGCTTAAAGGTCTTTTCCAGCCTGGCTGATTCCATGATTCTGTGATCCTTTTTGCTGAGGCACTGCTGAACCAGGTATTTTCTGTTGGTGTTTCCTAACATTCCTTCCAATGTAAATGGAAGTGCTTCTAAACCTGGTGAGTGCTTGAAAGGTTGTTGTAACGCTGATGGCTGTGCATTTACAGGCATCTGCAGTAGTTTGGAAACTTCAGCCTGTCCTTCAGGTAATTTCAGTTCCTCTGCAACCCCCGGTAGGTAGGCATGCCATTTTCTGCCAGTGGGTTTATGCAAGTCCATCCTGAGGAGCAGTTCCCTTTGGGATACTGTCAAGCTAATTGAATGGATTGATTACTGTTAGGGTGGTGAGCCACTGGAATGGGTTGCCCAAAGATGCTGGGAATGCTCCATCCCTAGCAATGTTAAAGGCCAGGTTGGAAAGAGCCTTGGGTGACATATATAAAAGACATATATAAAAGACATGTTCTAAGGGACGTGAGTGATGTGCTGGCTTGCCAGTGTTTGGTTAATGGTGGACTCGATGTTCTTAAGGGTCTTTTTCAACCTAAATGTTTTCATGATTCTACACAATGCTGTTGTTTCGACCAAACTCTGTCTCTCATCAGAGGAATGACACTGCAGGAAGGCAGTGTGTCTGCCAGCTGAGGGAGGGAACATCAGTGCTAGCTTCAGGCTGTTTCCCATGGTGTCCCCTGGAGCCCAAGGGGGACCTGGAGGGAGCCCAGAGGGGCAAAGGCAGAGCCGCCTTGGGCTGGACCTCTGCTGCTGAGGTGGGCTGGGCTCCTGGGACACAGATAGATGCTGGCAAGCGGGCAGAGCTGCAGAGAGACAACTATGCCCAGGAGCAGGACTGAGGCACTGCCTGCAGGCACCCAGGGGAAAACTGCGAGCCTCAGAGAGCTTAAAGGCACTTGGCAGTGGAGGATGCTGAGAGCTCCCTGCAGGAGAAACCTTCCCAGCCCTGTGCACGGTAAGGCTCTGGGTACAGGGCAATACAGCTGCAGCTCCTGGAGGGATCTCCTCAAGCTGCTGCCTTGCACAGACCATGGGATCTGTCAGGAGACTCTCTTGGTTTCTCTGTGTAGATAAGGAGGAGGATGTGCTGCAGAGCAGGGCTTCCCTGTGCACCATGGGAGGGACAGGACAAGGCAGGTCCCTTGTCCCGGCTCTGGCTGCAGGGTGTGGATGTGGGTGTGCAGCCAGGGATGCCCAGCGCTGCCCTTGTGAGCAGGGTCCCTGCAGCCCAGGGGCTGTGTGCAGGGGCAGGGACTCTGCTGCCTGCCAAGGTCAGCACTCAGCCTGCCCCGGAGTTCCCCATGGCACTGGGGGAGAAGCTGAGGTGAAAGGAACAACCCCTGGCAGGGAAGGGGAAGTGTTCTTGTGCACTGGAGAGGGTGATGTGTGGGTCAGGGCTGCTCAGAGCTCCACATTACTCTGAGCATGTTTGCAGAGTCCTTTTGAAAGACACTAAGGGAGTGTTTGTCCTTAAAGGACGATACTGGTCTGTGATGTTTTTCACTCTTGGTGGGCAGGTTGGGCAGTGGGAGCTGGGAATTTACTTCTCCGCTTTGGAGAAGGCACCGAGAGTCTTGTCAGGGACTGTCTGAGCTGCTCCAGAGCACCTGCACAGGCACAGATGCCCCTGGGAAGAGCCCTGCTGCCGGGAGGGGTGTGCAGGGCAGAGCTGAGCACACAGCCCATGGCATGGGCTCTCAGAGCACTGAGAGGGAGCAGAGCTGGGCACAGAGCAGCAACTCCTGGCAGGGACAGCTCCAGGCAGCAGAGATATGGGCAGGGAGTGGGGGGAAAGTGCAGCCCAGCCCTTGGGAGGGTGCGTTCAGGAAGCTCTCTTGGGGTCTGGCACTGGAGATGGCTGCTGGCCATGCTCTGCAGGGCAAGGAGCTGACTGTCTCGCTAGAAAGTGCAGGGCAACTGAGAACCAGACTGATGGACTCTGCAGCAACCTTCAGTAGGCACTAACCCACAGACAGTTGAGCCGTTTTGTCTGTCCCATGCTGAGACTCTTCACAGTTGTCTTCAAAACCTTCGGAGTTTTACCCCTAAAAAAGTCATTTGTCAGCTGTGTCACTGGGAACACAAACAAACCAACCAACCTCAAAGACAATCATGACCAAGTCCCGCTCAGCGTCTCCCATGCAGCCCAATAGTGTTCAGAGTTGTGAGTGTGTAAATTGAAGTTCTGTATCTGACATCCCTCCTGTCCTAACCTGTCACTGCCTTTTTCTCCTCTGACAGTGCCCCATGCCCAGAGGCAGCAGATGTCCAACAGCAGCTCCATCACCCAGTTCCTCCTCCTGCCGTTCGCACACACGCGGGACTTGCAACTCTGCCACTTCTGGCTCTTCCTGGGCATCTCCCTGGCTGCGCTCCTGGGCAACGGCCTCATCATCACCAGCACAGCCTGCGACCAGCACCTCCACACCCCCATGTACTTCTTCCTCCTCAACCTCTCCCTGCTGGACCTGGGCTGCATCTCCACAACTGTCCCCAAATCCATGGCCAATTCCTTCTGGGACACCAGGGTCATCTCCTACACAGGTTGTGCTGCACAGCTCTTTTTCTTTCTCTTTTTTATATTAGCTGAGTTTTATCTTCTCACTGCCATGTCCTACGACCGCTACGTGGCCATCTGCAAGCCCCTGCATTATGGGACCCTCCTGGGCAGCAGAGCTTGTGTCCACATGGCAGCAGCTGCCTGGGGCGCTGGGTTTCTCAGTGCTCTGCTACACACAGCCAATACATTTTCACTACCCCTCTGCCGAGGTAATGCTGTGGAGCAGTTCTTCTGTGAAATCCCCCAGATCCTCAAGCTCTCCTGCTCACATTCCTACCTCAGGGAAGTTGGGCTGCTTGTGCTAAGTTGCTTTGTAGGGTTTGGATGTTTTGTTTTCATTGTGGGGTCCTATGTGCAGATCTTCAGGGCCGTGCTTAGGCTCCCCTCTGAGCAGGGACGCCAGAAAGCCTTTTCCACCTGTGTCCCTCACTTGGCTGTTCTCTTCCTTCTTGTCAGCACTGGTACCTTTGCCTACCTGAAGCCCCCCTCCATCTCCTTCCCATCTCTGGATCTGGTGGTGTCAGTGCTGTACTCAGTGGTGCCTCCAGCAGTGAATCCCCTCATCTACAGCCTGAGGAACCAGGAGCTCAAGGATGCTGTGAGGAAGCTGGTGACTGCAGGTGTTTCAGCAGCCATACACTGCCTGCTTTACCCTGTAAAGGGCTTCCATTTTAGGTCATGACAGGCCATTTCCATCTTTCCTGCTTTATATTTGTTATCCTGTTTCAATTTATGGTGACGTTGTCTTCATTGAAATGTCAATTTTCTTCTCCTCCTCTTTTAGTAGCCACTTGTATTGTGTGAGTTTGTGTCACTGTGGGTCTGTCATTGTATTTAAGAGAAATAAATGATACCACAGCAACTTCTCTGTGATATATCCTCACATAGCAGGAATGAAGGGGAATGACATCAGCTTTCTGGCTGCTCCAGCTCTGGGATGGCTGCTCCTTGCCTGGAGCAGGATGAACTCTTGAGGAGCCCAAGGGCTGGGGCTGGTGTGCTGGTGTGGGGAGATGGGATGGCATGGGGGGGCTGCAGACGTCTCAGTGTGTCTTGGGTAGGAGAGCAGGGGACTCCCCTGCAATGGCGCAGGCTGGGGCTGCCTGGCTGGCAGCAGCCCATGGGAAAGGTTTGGATAGGCAGGAGCTGGACAGGAGGCAGCGTGTGCCCTGGCAGCAAGGGAGGACAGCAGCATCTCGGGCTGTATGCCCAGGAGCACGGCAGCAGAACAAGGGAAAGGATGCTCTGGAATACTCCATCCAGGTTTCAGATCCCCAGTTCAGGAACACCACTGGCAAGTAGGAGTGGGTTTAACAATGGGCCCTCAGGACGGGCACACAGTACCTGGGGGGAGAGGCTGGCGGAGCTGGGCTTATTCATCCCAGAGAAGGCAAGGCTGATGGGGACCTGAGATCTTGAGAAGGGAAGGCTGCTGGGGACTGGCCAAGCCCCTGTGTCCAACCTGGCCTTGAGCACTGGCAGGGATGGGGCACCCACAGCTTCTCTGGGCAAGAGTCTGCCACTGTCTCAGTACCCTCAACATGAGGAATAATTTTCTAATATGAGATGAAATTAAATGAAACAAACAGAATTAGTTAAATTAACTTTTAATAGAATCACAGAATCATTGAATCTGAAAAAAACCCTGACAACATCGAGTCCAACCATTAACCTGTCCCTAACAAGTCCATACTCTGACAACAACATTCCTGTGGGATACCCTGTCTGGATGGTCTCTAACAGCAACTGGAACCCAGTCAAATTTATATCCTACCATAATTTCATTCATTTCTATTCTATTCTGTTTGTTGTTAAATGTTCTGCTTTTCAATAGAGCATGGAAATCACCTGGAGAAGTTATGTTATTGTGGAAACCTCCTCATACAGATCATGGGATTTAAACACATTTAACAAACTGTTTACAACTGAGAAAACCAACCAACCATTTCCTTCAATATATAACTGGAATTCAGCACTACTCTGTTTGGAGGCACAAAGACAAGAGGTGACCACACCACTCTGTGAGAAGGATGGATTGAGGTAGATCTTCTTGCTGTTTCTCCTAGAACACAGGGGAGGAGGGAATGAAATATTATCTTTAATAACAAAATATATTCCAATTACATGAAAAATATGGAAAAGGTGCTAAAGCTCAACAGGTTTTACCTGGAAGAACAATTAACTAAAAATTTCCTCCTGTGCTCTCTCCTTTCCCGTCCATGGATACTTTCCTCAATAACTGACAAGTGCGCACAACACAGCAAGTGATCTGTGTGTCTACTGCACATGAAGGTGAACAGTTCCTTTTGGTGTTGGATCTGTAGAGTCAGATTTATCTTCAAATCCACTCAACCATGTACCAGGGAAACAGGCAGGGAATTTTCATCTGTATCTTGGACACTGCCAGCCATGGGGCAGCCACAGCTTCTCTGGGCACCCTGTGCCAGTGTCCCACAAGCCTCACAGGGAACAACTTCTAAGACCTCATCTCAATCTCCCTTCTCTGTCACGTTAAAGCCCTTCCCCCTTGTCTCATCCCCACAGGCCCTACTTCTCCCCACAAGAAATAAGGCCAGATGCCAGCATCTCCCCTCACAGCCAAAGCTCTCAGCTCCCAGCTCAGCCAGCACAACTCGCACACCCAGTCCAAAGCAGCCACTCTGGGGAAGTCACTTGAGGTTTTCTTGGCAACTCCTAAAGCACCCCAAGATCGCCATCGCCACCCACCTCGTTCCACACTCCTGTGTCTGCAGGTGTCACCGGCTCCGAGACACCAAATGGGAACAACCAGAGGAGCTGCTCTTGCCTCCTCCACCAGTAGCTTGTGTTCCGTGGGGCAGCTGTTGCCTGCCTGTGCCTCCACTGAAGGGTTCCATGGGGTTCCGTGGCCTTGCATACCTGAACACATGCCTTGAAGCAGCAAAGACGTGCTGTCAGATGGATATCTTTCTGGGCAACCTGTGATAGTGTCCCACGACGCTCACAGGGAAGAACTTCCTCCAAAAGTTTCATCTTATTCATCCCCCCTCTGTCAACTTAAAGCCATTCCCACTTGTCTGATCACTACATGCCCTTGTAAAGAATTCCCCTCCAGCTTTCTTGCAGGCATCAAACAGATATTGGAAGGCAAACTCATTGTCTAAGTCATCATATAAATTATCATTTACATCATCTTCAAATCATTGTGAATTCGCAGTTGAATTAAAATTCACTTATTGCTAAATCACCATTGAATTCCCATTTGATTTTAATTCAGTCCCTGATTAATTACCATTGGTCATTAATGAGGCCTTTTCAGTTATCCCCACAAGGATGACTTCTCTGAACCATTCCCCCGCGAAGCACAATGAGTCAGAGCTCCATTTCCCTTCAGGTGTGCAGCAGCAGATCCAGCAAGTGCCCCAGCACCGGACCGCTGCAGCACCTTCAGGAGCGTGCCAGGCGTTGTGGAAGGTGACAGGGTCTGGTGGGATCTGGCACAACCTGTGCAGGCTCACCAGCATTCCACAAAACAGCACGGACCTGGTGTGCCCGTGGAACCTGAATGTGCACTCTACACAGAGGCAGCAGCTCTGGCGGCCTGGTGGAGCTCAGAAGTCCCCCAGGTATTCCAGGGGCTTCCGATAACATCCGCCGGAGCCGCCCAGCATTCCCGACTGATGGTGGCATTGCTGGGTCTGTGGGTATTGCGGCAGGAGAAGGGCCCTGGCTGATGCTGCTTCTTGTGGTGTCGTGGTGGCTGCGGACGTGACAGCGCGGGAGCAGGCACCTGCATCTTCTGCTGCTTGGGATGTCCCTGGTGGCTATTCAGCTGGTTCTGCTGACACAAGTGCTTCACCCTCCTGTTTGCCCACCCACTCAGACTGCAATGGCTTCCCTTGGGCAGAGCAGCATTGAGGGAGACTGTGCCAACAGCTGTGCTGAGGCTGAGGGAAACCACTTGTTACCTCCTCACGCACAACTGTAGGCCCTCAGCTTGGCCAGGCAGCAGTTACCCTTCGGACAGCTTTTAGGTGCCCAGAGGTGTCACCCAAGAGGACTCTGATGCTGACAAATGCCTTCACCAAAGACAGCTTGTACAGCCTGTGCTCCCCTGGGTCGCAGTTGGGCCTTTATCAAAGGTAAATGTGACAGGGAGCCTGAATTAATAACTGAATGTTAAACCTATGTTATTCTTCTGATTATCTTCAATCTCTTTAGTTAACAATAAGTATTTGTCTAAAAGTGCAACTGGTGTTTAATGTAAACTTGTGTAAGAAAGGAAAGAACATCAGATAAGGGGAACTGCTGAAACCCTGGAAAGAGCCAGCACCACCCCAGGACAACTGCCTTGTCAGTGATTGAATTAATTGAAATTTCAGCTTAGGACTTCCATTTTATGGATGTTTTCAGTCCTTCTTAAAGTGAAGGGAGCAATCTTTTTTACGTTAAAGTAAAAAAAAAAAATCACCATCCACCCCCCCCTCCCCGCCCCGAATCTACAGCGAGACAAACACGGGATACAGGCATATTGTGTGCCTTTTCAGTGGTGGGAAGGTCTTTCATATGTTCTCATCAGGGGTATTGGGCATACTGTGACTCATATAATACAGTCTCTCTGTGATACTCATGAACAAGAAGTTGGTAAAAATAAGTATGTTCAGGTTTCTATCAACCTTTGGAGAACTTTGTAGATACTGCTGGCCACTTCTTCCAGCACAGGCTGGCCACCTGTGTCAGAATGAGTGTGCGTTTTGGTCAGTATAAAAGCCCAAGCCTCATAAGATGTGGGGGAGGCAGAGCCTCTGCGGGGACACCCGCTAAGGTTGAGCCTGCCACCTCGCACTGCAATGATGCTTCTCGGAGCTGTTTCTCTGTTAGTCTCCACAGGGTCCTTATGCCACGTTCTGTACGTGGGACTGTGTAGTGGGAGTAATAATTGTCTTTTTGTGTTTCAAATATTGTACTTGTGTGGAGTGTGCTTGTGGGATCCCACACGTGTGTGTGTGTGTGCGTGTGTGTGTGTGTTGAGGGCAATCGATGTTTTATGTACTGTTGGGTTCATGTAAAAGTTTTTAACGGGTAGCTGTTTAACATTTTGGGCATGAAACAGTTAATGTAAAAGTGCGGCTGCTGGCAGGTATTTATAGTTGCTGCTGAAGCAGGCAGGCGGCTATAGCTGCTGCCCAGCAGGCCGGCTTTTGCAGGGGTAAAAAAAAAAAAAAAGGGGGGGGGGGGAACAGCAATGATGCTGCACATGTGCAGTTTAACTTGTCTACTTCTCAAGAACTGATAACCTGGACTGCCTGCAAAGTTTGTGAAGCCTTGCCATGAGCTGGACAGACGAATGGAAAAACCTGATGCCTCAGCTACAGGAGCTGACCGTGAATACCCCAAGCAGAATGAGATAGAGGAAGAGAAAAAACCAATAACTGCAAAACGTCACTTGGGAACAACTGAAAAGTAACATCCTGAATATGTGTGCTTGTAAAGTAGCTATTATTAGAGGTTGTGATTTTGTGTATAAAACCACCTGTATTTACTAGCTAGTTGCTAATAAGAAACTACACCTTGTATTGTATAGATTTGTCACTTGTAAAAGAGATGTTAGAGTATGGAAATTTGCAGTAGCTGCTAGAAAATGCTAAGGCAAAAGCTAGAAAGATTTTAATACAATGGTAGTCTTAAAAAGCAGGTGATAGTA